ATATCTCTGAAGTGTTTGGCTCCAAACACCAAACAGATCATTGCAGCATCCCATAATCCCCTCTGCTTCAGCCCTGTTTCAAAAGTGCTGATTCTCTGGGTTTTTCTCAATGTCGAGGATGCTTGCTTGGTAGGACATGTCTTCCGAGTCACTTGCTTCAGAAGCGAGGCAAGAATCCTTCCTGGCATTCGGAAAACGAAGAGTGGAACAGGCGAGCAAGTGTGCAGGTGTGCGTCACATGAGAGGCCCCGCCTTACATTTTCCGCCATAGATTTGGGGAAATTGGTCAAAGCATTGTGGGGATTTTAAGACCGCGGAGTCTACACATGTGCAGTCTCAAAATTTCTCGCTACGAAGTACGCCGGGCTCGGTAGACTTCCAAGTATGCTGGACATTGGAACAGTCACTCGATGACGTAGTATGCTTGAAATAGTGGCTCTGGAGCAGCTTTACTCAACATTGAGAAACACCCTCTGTCTGTTACTTTAGATGAAAAATAAGGAGCCCCTCCCCACGCCCCTCTGAGAGATATTTGGTTAAAAAGAACACAATGGTGCTCTAGGAGGAGATTCAGGTGATAAGGTGTTATGACATCATAAAGGGGCCAAAATCTGATCAGCTCATTTTTAGACAGGTTTTTATAGAAATGGATCAGGGCAAAAAGTGGGAGAATCTTTTTTCCTGAAACTTTCAGAATCTCTTTCCACAGAGGGGACACATGTTGATGTATAGAACACATGAAAAGGTGGATTTTGCATAATAGGTTAACTTTAAAGTAAAGTCAAGAAACAGGATTGTGAACTTTTAGAGAATTTTAAACTAGTAGATAATTTATATTGATGCATAAGCAGCATTTAAATATTGTAACTGGTCTTAATGGACTTTACTTATATAAATAAAGTAGTTAAAGTAGATTCAACCCATCTGTAATTAAATCTATAAAAAGGCTCATATATTATCTTTTATATATCAGCCGGTAAATAAATAACGTAAACAGCACAATATATTTAGGTATAAACAGTAGACTACTTAATTTATAGTCAAATTTCACTGCTAATTAAGCTCATGTTCGCAGATTATTTATTAGAAAGTTATTTCTTCGTCTTGTTCATTCACACTTGAGCAGGTCTTGTGATCCAACCTGTTTCTATGCAGAAATGACCTGAGGAATTTCTTACGTGATTATGTGGCTCTTACTCTACTCTACGTACGACTGTAATCCCTGTAGGGTCTTTTTACCAGGAGCCCCTCACCTCTGATTGGAGGAGATCTGCAGGAGGAAGGAGGCCTTTCTTCTTCTAACACTCTGCCGCGCTTTATAAAGCCTGATTTTCTGTTAGGACGTCCTCACAAAAGGGATATTTCTTTCCGAGGAGGTGCTCCAACCATGCGGACGTCTGTGGTGTTGTTGGTGTTTCTGGCTGTGGCTTCTCACACTGTGGCAAGTGAGTACAGAAAACACACCTGCTACCTTTAATATCAACACTTCACAGTGAGTATGTTTTATTCATGGGAGACCCCAGAGGAGCTGTGGATCATCAACAGCATTTAAATGACATTTGCTCACTGTAACTCAGAGTTTTAGTTTTAGATTAGATTAGAATCTTTAATGACCACAAAGCCAAACTGGTGGAATTCGTGTTCAGTGCAGATTATTACAGCTTGTTCCATACAATTCAACAAACAAAAAACAGACAATAAATAATATTATATACTCAAAATTGGAAAACGTCAACATTATCTCATATTAGTCCTTCTATTTACATCTTTTAGTAAAGATAGAAGTGGCATTACTGCATTAGATATGATATAATGAGGCTGTGGCTCAATGGGGTAGTGTGCTGAACTTTGAATCAGGGGATTGCAAGTTCGAGTCCCACTGCACTCGTTGTGTCCCTGGGCAAGACACTTCTCCCCAGAATGGCTCCAGTGGGGATTGCCCACAGTACTGAATATATGTAAGTCGCTTTGGTGACATGTAATGTAATGTAATATTAGAATAGTAGAAGGAGGGCACATTTAAAATATAAATGAACCTATCGATAAAGTGGGATTAGCCCATTGATAAGGTGAAATAAAAGCCTGCAGTCAAAATACAATGGAAGTATTATTCGGGAAATGAAATATCATCATGAGGTAAAATTGCTCATACTTTGGGAAACTGGCCCCTGTGAGTGTGACGTCATGATATTATGATGCTGCATTATTATTGCTGATGCATTAATGTACAAGCAGAATTTAACTGTTGACCTCATTTGAACTTCTACGTGCATATATTGTTGGTTATTGAGCATCATATATCGGATGATCAAATGATTTCAATGTCAAAATGAAGTAAACTCTGCAGCTGCCAAATAAATGTAGTGAAATAAAAAGTACAATATTGACTTCTGATGTAAAGGGATGTTAAGCAAAATGTAAAGTATAAATTGAAAACACTTAACATTGCATGAAATCAAAATACTTAAAGAAATAATCTGAATGTAAGTGCAGTATTTAGGCACTAAAAAAAAGCCCTTTATATCATATTATATAACAGTAGTCATAAATAGGCTGTTAAAATAGATGTATGGCTTTGTCTTGATTTAATGAGTTTATTAAACTTTCATTAAATTGGCCCACTGATAGTAGCTCAGCGTTTTAGTTTAACCTTCACATTTTCTATAAGATCTGAGGTGGTTTCCCATGACCTCTTTATGCAACCATGCATGAGTCTGAGTGACAGAATGTGACCTTTGTTAAGCAAAGCACCTATAAGATCATTTATCTTAATCCTTTATACGTTAAAAGTTCAACATTCTTTCAAATCTGTCTTAACGCATTAAAAACAAGCTCAAGTGTGCATTAAAGGAGTTGTTAGCCGTTGTCATATTAATTCCTCCTCTCCACGCTGACCCTGGAGAGGTCGATCTAGGGAATATAATTGATAAAAATAAGACTTGTAATTTTGTGAAATAAGTTGAAGAGGTGTTTTCAGCTGCTCGTGCAAAATCTTACAATGAAAATATTATTTTATTTTATTTTAAAAGTCACCAGTTAACAGTGCAGTCATGAAGAATGGAAAACTCATGAAGTTGAATCTCGAGAGGAAAGAAAAGAAAAAATTAATTATTTTGAAATTATAATAATACAGGCTTAATTCATAATAATATTAATAGGTAGTTTGATTAACTGAGACTCTGTTGTTCTTTGTTATCTTACATTGTGTTTGATCCAAATCCGGCCGTGTGGTTTTGTTAATCTGTGGTTATAAAAGAAAAAGCATGCACACACTCAGCTGAGCGTCACATGAGAGGGATTGGAGGAACAAGAGAATTATATTATTGCATAATAAAACTAGTTTAGGCTTCACATCCACCTTTCGTCAAATATTCGAACAACTGAGTTTGTAAAACTTTAAAACCAATAATTTCAATCATGCACTGAAGGCTTTTAAGAATGCATAATAGATATCTGCAATAGTACATAAAAGAACGTGGAAAACTATCTCTATTTTCCCTATAATTAGTACCAAATTACAGAGTTATATCAAATAAAAGTTGACACATTACTGGTAAATGAAATGAACAGAGACGTGATCAAATTGTGTTTTCAATGTTTGTATTTTGGATATTTCAGAGCCCAGAAATCGCTTCACTCGTTATCCATCATGGAACAATAAGATGTACCCAATCTGGAAGGATGGAGACGCCCGGTACAAAGACTCCTGGAAAGGTACGTCTGATGTTGGCACAATCTCTTTCAAATGCTCATATTTTCTTTTCTTTATACATATTTTTAAAGAACATACAAAGGGCCTTTTTGTAAGATAGTGACATTAGTTAGTAGTTAGATAGTGACAGTTCCTCCTTTACACCTCTGAAAACAAACAAAATGTCAACATATTTGGCGACACAGACTTTCACATTTTGTGTTTATTGCTCAGTGTTTCCTGTGTTCTTCGTCAGGTGGAAAAGTGACTTTTAATGTTGGGAACGATTCCCCGACACTGACTGCAGCTAAAGTCACTTTCACCATCGACCTGGAGTTCCCGCACACCCAGAAGGTGCAGCCTGACGGAGACGTCGTCTGGGCCGAAGACTGCATTATCAACGGTAACACACACAAACACACACACACACACGCACGCACGCACGCACGCACGTACGCACGCACGCACGCACGCACGCACGCACGCACGCACGCACGCACGCACGCACACACACACACACACACACACACTCAAAGACAGACACAGACACACACACACACACACACACACACACACACACACACACACACACACACACACACACACACACACACACACACCACACACACACACACACACACACCACAAACACACCCAGCACAATACACACCTCACTATATTTTAAGCCATCAAAGCAGCATGGTTGTCCTCACTGAGATATCTCAACAACTATTGGATGGATTGCAATAACATTTGGTGGATATATTCATGATCCCCAGAGGATGCACCCTGAGGACTTTAGTGTTCCTTTGTCTGATTCTTCCAGCACCACCATGAGGGTAAGATTTATGATTTTCTGTGAAATGTCTCAACAGCTATTAGATTAATTGAAGTAAAATGTAAGCGCAATCATCAAGTAGAAATATAATACTTTGTTTTATGGGCAAATGCATACAAAAAAATAACAATCCCATCAGTCTCAGCTCTGCCTTGAGTTTAGTGGTAATAGTAATGAAATATATAAATAAAAAAGTGCTTCACAGGGAGATGAGTAATGTTTTCAGGGTTTGCTGTTTGTTATGTGTACCTACTTTGAGACAGCAGATGGAAATTAGCTACTTGCAAAAAATATGCAAACAATTATCTCCTCCAGGCATGGTGATCAAAATAGACACAATTACAATAAATAATATTAATTTAATTTGTGATTATTCCTTTTTTTCTGTTATCTAATTTGTACAATCTTAACTGTGTTTGTATACGTATTTGTTCAGAGACATATTTACACGTTACCTTAATGAGTAAATACTTGAATTGTTTTGTTGTAAACTTGTGCTTTTAAATCTAATTACCTTCTCCTGCAGGAACTAAGTACGGTGAGTCTGAGCCGGTGTACCCGGGTCAGAGCTCAGACCTGGAGTCGGTGTTCCCTGACGGGACGCCCTTCAAGAAGGACAAGAAGCCGGCCTATGTGTTCGTCTGGAAAACATGGGGTGAGTGGAGTCGTCGTCTTTTATGAAAACACATCACAAACTTCTCTGAGGGTCACAGAGTGTGTCGGACCACGTGACCTGGAGTATGAGCCAGGCTAGATTATCGTTAAGTCTTTTCATATGATCAGATTATGTCACTTCATTTACCCAACAGGAAGAAATGTTTGAAGAAAACAATCCTTTATTTTCAGTTCTGGGATTAAAGGCTTCAAAGTTGTTATACAAAGAAGAGGGAGATTTAAGAGAGGCTTTAACTAGAGGCGTAAGCAGTTATATAAAAAAGGTACACAAACATTATAGTGCAACAATATAAAAGTAAGTAGAAATACGGGTAAATAAAAACACAAAGTTATCCTAATACAACAAATAAGCAAAGCAGTTCTATGTTGATATGTATTAGGTAAAGTGAAGAAATACAAATGTTTTTGCACTGAAGTCAAGTTTAAATGTTTATGCAGTACAGATATTAATTAAGTAAAAACACTTTCTTTTTATTACGTTTTAAATTACATTTTAAATATTTATGTTGTAAAGTGCAATACAGTTATTTATGAAGAAAAGTAAAGTTGAAATATGTATGCAGTAAAGTAAAGTATACATATTTAACTTGTAGAGTAGGGTACAATTAAGAATGTAGTAAAGTTAATTAATCTTAATTTTTTTTGTTTTACAGTGTAGGCAGGTTTAGTTTAATAATGTTTGTAGTAAAGTATAATCAGAATCTGAAACTGGTTGACACGTACGAGGAATTTGACT